TTTCCTCTTGTATAAAGCAGGTAATACATGCCCTACCTTATAAGATTGTAAAGATGAAATGAGATTATTCTCATATCAAAGTGATCCATAAATGCTAGGTAAAAAAACACACAAATAAATGCTATTATTATTCAAGATATGCAAATGATTATGGGCACAGATGTAGCATGAATTGCTTTAAGTACTACAAAATGGCAATAAGTTTAAGGAGTGCCATTATATATATCGGAAAATCCCTTTACCCAATCAAATCTTTTCATTAAGAAACTAAGAACTACTGACAGATTTTTCTTGTTTAGCACCTTGTTCAGTGATATAACTCACAAAGTATTGAGAACAACCTAGCACCTCAGACAACATATTATTTGGGTGGCTCAGATGGTTATACCAATACAGCTATAATTTCTAGATCAAGGGTTGCAAAATATAAATGTCAGATTATATGTATAATATAACCTATATTATATGTGGTGTGCATATATATGTATATACATATATTCAAATAAATATATATTCAAATATCAGATAGTAAATATTAAAGCTTTGTAGGCCAATATAGTCTTTGTGCAACTACTCAACTGTAACTGAAGAAAGCAACCATAGACATATATAAACAAACTGATGTGGCTGTGTCCCAATAAAATAAAACAGGCAATGGGCTGATTTGGCCTGTAGGCCATAAATAATCCCTGTTCCACATTAAAAGCTTACTGTTCTACAGGAAATACCTCTCTCAGGATCATGTTTTGGGATCAACCCTATCAGTTTTCCAAAACCTCATCACCCTATTTATACCACTGTACATTTGTACAGTGCTTTAGTTTTACAAAGAACTTCCATGATGATTTAACACATTTGATCCTCAGTCCCGTCAGCTAATAAGGATCCATCTAATCTTTTTTGTATTGATGAGAAAAAGGTTTCAGTAAACTGTTCAGGGCCACACAGATACTAAGGGGCAAAATCTACATTTCCTGTTTTGTAAAAAAATACATGATCAGAAACCTTAATTTTACTTCGTTGTTGTTCTTAGCGTGTTACTCCTTTCCTTATTTGAAGTCCAGTGAAATATTATGTATGCATTTTCAAGAATTTGAATTTTCTCAAATACATCTCTTAGCCCCAGATTGCAAATTCTATTTTGGGGGGTGTTGAATATAAAAAGAATGTTTATGATAGGGGAAATTGGTAATAAAAAACATAAGAACTAAAAGAATACTGAAGATTTAAATTTGTCTTTTTCAAAGCAAACTTTAGTCACTTAAGGAGGGGATAATATACTTTCAATTTCAATGTGAGAAGTAAAGAGGCAGGATACATGCCCAGCCAGTGTGGCTCAGTGGACTGAGCGTCATCCCATGGACTGAGAGGTCCTGGTTCAATTCCATGACAGGGCACATGCCCGGGGTTGTGGGCTTGATCCCCAGAGGGGGCGTGCAGGAGACAGCTGATCAATATTTCTTTTTTTTTTTTTTTATCCTCACCTGAGGGCATTTTTCCTTTTTTTTGCTCAGACAGAGTGGGAGGGAGGGAGAGGAAGAGAGAGAGAGAAACATCAACATGAAAGGGACACGATGAGTGGCTGCCACCCACACAACCCAACCAGGGCCAGGGACAAACTGCAACTGAGGTACGCGCTCTTAGCGGGAACCAAACCCGGATCTCTCCGAACCGCAGGCCAAAGCTCTAACAGCTGAGCCAAACTGGCCAGGGCTGATCGATATTTCTTTATCACACGCATGTTTCTATCTCTTTCTCCCTCTCTCTCTAAAAAAATCAATTAAAAATATATTTTTTTTTATAACAGAGGAAGGATACAGATCAAAGCCTCATCAATGGACTATGCATATGATAAATCTGAATCTATGATTTTCAATTCTGGGTCAGGGCACATGCCCAGGTTGTGAGCTCGATCCCCAGTAGGGGGCGTGCAGGAGGCAGCCAACTGATGTTTTGCTTTCACATGGATGTTTTTCTCTCTCTAAAAATCAATTAAAAATAATAATAGTTTTCTTTGTAAAACCTTAACTTCTATGATATTCTGTAGTAGACAATTTCAAAATGACAGAAAGAATACCTAACAGTTAATATTAGAGATGATTTGAAACTTTCAGAGTAAGTCCTAAACTAATAAAAGGGTTTGAACATACTCTGCCAAGTGCTCAGCTCTATATCTAATAGCTGAGCCTCTGTTTTCTCTTTTGTAAAAGGGAAATATCTACCTTATAGAGTTGAGGATTGAAAATATTGCACAAAAGCAAATCACACATCATAATCTCATTAAACATAGCTACTTAGCAAAATTTGCACTTACAAAGAAAACCTATACCAAACCTTCATGAATAATTAATTAGTAGCTAAATGAGCCAAAGATTAATTCCTGTCTACACTTCCGGTTACCCGTCCACTTGACAGTAAATGGCAGGTGGAAGGTCATGAACTCTGGTTCCGTTTGATCTGCCTAGCTCATCCCATTTCATGTGTTTCTCTCTGTTGCTAACCCTTTCTTCAAGTCTGAACAGCTCTCTCCAGTTTCTCCAAGACATCAGACTAGAGTAAGATTTAGTTTCTATATTCTAATTCTTTCAGATCTGGATTTTTAAAATAGCTTCTAGTTGGAACAAAAAAGCTTTGTGTCCCTTTTAAAGGAATTTCAGAAATCACATGATTAAAGAATAAGCAGGTGACTTGCAAAGTAGCATCTGCTGTCAAAAAGCTTCTAAAATTTGAAAAATATATATTCCAAAACTTACCATTTTTTGTCACAATATTTATTTTGAAATTCCAAATAATACTAAAAAATAATGTGTATTTTAAAATATATATATAAAATAGGGCGTAAGTAAAAAAAAAAAATATATATATATATGTTGCCCTAGACTTTTGTGGAACATAAAACTATGATCTTTCATTATTTTACTGTGCCTTACTATAAAAATACAGATGGCACAGCTCTGATATAGCTTAACAACTTGATTATAAATTGCTTTCAAAAGTAATTTATTTGGATTTTCCATATCCTTTAATGAATTGCAAATATATTAACAAAAGACTCCCCCCCAAGACTGTACAATTTCTGAAATAAGTCAGGAAAAGCAAAAAGACACAAAATTACATTGTTTCAATGCAAATAGAACACACACATCACACCCACACTTGCATTTTCCCAGGTTTTCACAAAGAAAATGGGTCACTATATTTCTCAGTGAAGACCCACACTATCCTCCGGCTAATCAGAGACTTCCAAACTTTTTTCTTCAAAAAGAGCATTTTTAATAGACTAAATACTGTTATCACTGAGTTTTTGTTTAAGGTACAACAGCAGCATGGTTCAAATGTTACTTGCAGTTCTTGGAAAGAATAAAAATTTTAAAGTAATGAAATACAGAAAATGTAGGGACCACCTTTCATTATTTTGAGTACCATTGTTCTCTTGAAAAAATATTTCCACCTTTTAAACTCCCAGAGTTAAGAACCATTTCCAAGGATGAAAAATATTGAATGCCATAACCTAACTTCTGAACAAAAGTGTGTGTGTGTGTGTGTGTGTGAAAAGCTTAGATAAAAAATATGTCAAAGTACTTAGTATTTTTAATTTCCTTGAAAGTAACTTCTGAAATTTGAAGCAAACATTTTGCTTGATCAAAACGTATGCCCTCTTCTGTTGTTTGATCCCCATTCCACACGGGGGTTAAAAAAAAGAGAGAGAGAGAAAGCCAGAAACAGTTACTAGATGGGTAATAAGGCTTCAAATACCTAAATGACTTTGAAAGAAAGTGTGAGGAAAAATAAAATCAGGCCAAGCTTGGGCTGAGTGTCCCTCAGTCCACCATTACCATGGTGTGCCTTCCACAACTATCCTTTTATCCTTGGTCTCAAAATTAGTACCAGAGTCTCTCAGTCACCTCTGGCACAAGACATACATTCCTATTACAAAAAGATAACTAATTATATATCATCAAATTATTTTCTGAACTTACCTTTCTCTAGGCTGTGTAACATGGAGCAGGTTGAAACTTTCTATGAAACTCTATATTTGATTCTGTTATATAGCTGGCTTATGATTTGCCAATTAAAAAATAAAATAACAGAATTAAATATTACAGAACTAATGGATAATAAAATGGAACATTTGTTAGAATCCATGTGCTGGCCTTTGGGAATTTTTAATGATATTTTTTACTCCCAACCTTTCCTTTTTCTTATAAATTGTTTTTTTAGGCAGCACACATACATAGATTTAGGTAAGGAATTTTGTTAAATACCTCTCTGGCACCTAATACCTAATCTGAGACTCTAACTTGAATTAATTTATAATAGTATCTAATCCACATTTAAATGAGTAGATTGATAGTAAATGATAGGAAATTACTGAGTCTACAGGCTAAATTTTTTTCACATCTTCTGTAATCCACCTCATTTTCACAGCTTGACTAATACAGATAACCAGAAGATAAGTTTGTACTTCATCAAATAATCCAAAATAATAACTGTAGACCTGTCATTCATAAGAAACTATAATTTGTTATATTCTGACATTGGCACTTAATAAAATGTTAACAACTAAAGTTTCTCTAAAAATTGCAATATATCACAATAAAGGAGATACACAATTTAAGACTTGAAATCTGTTACTGTGAAATTCCAATAATTCCCATTTTATTACACATAATTAGATCTTTAAAACTGTGGCCATTGCCCAAATACACCAACCTATGTTATGACAAACTCAGGAGAGAACACATCTCTTCATAAGAACTTTCCCTTCCCCCAGCTAAAAATTTCCAATATCCTAAACCAATCACTCTCAGTAAATGTTTAGCGATTCACATTACTGAAAATAATTTGAAGCAGAGAGAGCCGAAAAGAATGGAAATGACCTCAAGCAAAGGTGAGTACACATTCTTGCACCCTGCTTAAACACTTAGAAAAGTAAAAGGGATACTGTCTTGAACAAATATAGATTCAAGGTCATGGTACAATTCTGATTGTATTAAGGCTTTCACTATTATGATCTCTTAAAGTCTCTCTAGTGTTCTCATTTTGATTCCTATGGGGAACTTAATGGTTATTAAGGGTCTTGTTTTGGCTTCTCAGTGGGCAACCACTCTATCATCTCTGAATAGTAAAGGTGATCCCAAAGAGCTCAGAGAAGGGGCAGTATGGTAAGGACCAACTTTAAAACTTGGGATACCAAGACAACAATGATCAACACTTTGAAGCAAGATGAATAAATTAAAATTCTTGGTTAGACATGAAAGCATTCTTGCCAAGAATAAGTGTACACTGTATGGAGGATATTTGATTCCTAAACATGAGTCCCAATATGCCCATTACATTTGTTTATGAGAGACACTGCAAGTTTAAAGGTAATTTACATTCCTTGGCAATCAAGTTATTCTGTTATAGGCAATGTCTTTTATTGTTCCATCTGGCACTTGCTAACACCATTCTTGAAGAACCTAGAAATGAAGGTCAGTCACTCTGTTTATCAGGAACAGAACCAAATAAAAACAAAATTCTGAAAAAATGACCAAGAAATTCTGGTTCATCACTATTTTCCATGTCTAATGGTTCCTTCAGATAAAACATAACTCTTCCTTCCATGATAGTTTTCCAGCAAAGGGAGATTAAAGAAAAAAGAAAGTACCCCACCCTACCCCCCTAAATTGTCATTCATACTGGTGAAAGAGCCAGTCTTGTTAGCAGCTAAATATTGCACTGCCTTTCATTCTGTGTACAGTCAGGGTCCAATGAAAGTGGCACACTCATGGTATAAGTAATGGATGATGACACTGCCGGCTCAAGAGTGAAGACTCAGTATATGGAAGGACAAGAAACATGTCAGCACTAGTCACACATCCAGTTGTAAAAGTCTGATTTGCAGAAGTTAAAATTCATCACTTTCAGCTGCATGAAGTTGTGTGTCGTCTGCATCTGTCATGCTGCTCTCCTGGGATTCATCTGTTCCCACTGGAAAAAAAAAACAAAAATCAAAAAGTCTACAGTAAGATGTATGACAAATATTTCTTTTCCGTTCATGAAAACAAGTAAGGACAACTACTGTACTTTAAGAAATGAGACCTTAAATAAAGGTCCTTAAAAAATTCTGATATCCTTTAATAAAATGCAATTCAAGTTCTTTATTTTATAGCAAGGTCTGATATTCATTTACTGTATTTAACCTTTAATTAGAGTTTTAACTACTAAAACTGACTCTCTCTAATGAATTCCTCATTTCTACCCTAGGAATTAGAACTAGTTTTCTGAGGCATTAAAAAAAAGATGAACATTTCCTCCACTTTCGGGATAGTCCCTGCTAGTCCACAGAAATATAGAATTTAACATTCAGTTTAGAAAGGGTTATTGAGATTATGGAAATGATCATTTTAATTAAAGCCTTTAACTAAGTTTTCTGGAATGAAGGCATCTCAGTTTATCTCACCAGAAGTTATTCAAATCTCTTATTAAAAAATAATGCCCTGGCTGGTTTGGCTCAGTGGTTACAGTGTCGGCCCGCACACCAAAGTTGTGAGTTTGATTCTGATCAAGGGTATGTACCTCGGTTGTGGTTCAGTCCTGGCCCTGGTTGGAGTCATGCAGGAGGCAATCAATCGATGTTTCTCTCACATCGATGCTTCTCTCTCTCTCTCTCTCCATTCTTCCCTCTCACTCTATCGGAAGATAAATGGAGCCCTGGTTGGTTTGGTTTAGCAGTAAGAGTGTTGGCCCGTGGTCCAGAGACCTGGGTCCAGTTCCTGTTAAGGGCATGTACCTAGGTTGCAGTTTATCCCCCGCCATGGTTGGGGTTGTGTGGGAGGCAGTCACTTGATGTTCACATCGATGTTTCTATCTCTCCCTCCCACTCTATCTGAACAAAAATGGAAAAATGTCCTCGAGGATTAAAAAAAAAAGATAAATGGAAAGAGTATCCTCAGGTGAGGATTAAAAAAAATACTGACACATTAAGTCTTGGTTCTCACCAGTTATTTTAAGATATACACTCAATTTAGGGATAGAGTATTTATTGCCTTAAACTATAATTCTTTTTTAAAAAAAAACATGTTTTTATTGATTCTTCAGAAAGAGGAAAGGACAGACAGACAGAAACATCGATGTCTGAGAGAAACATTGATTGGCTGTCTCCTGCATGCCCCCCACCGGGGATCGAATCTGCAACCCAGGCACGTGCCCTGACCAGGAATCAAACAGGGACCTCTTAGTCCATGGAATGACGCTCAATCCACTGAGCCATACCAGCCAGGCCCCTAGAAATTGAGATACGTATATGGTCCCTGCTAGAGTGTGTGTGTGTGTGTGTGTGTGTGTGTGTGTGTATACACATATATATGCACATATATTTGGATTTTGAATTCTTTGAATTAGCAACTATTGCATATCTGTCAATAACTTAAAATGTGCACACATTTATTATTCATTCACATAGCACTTATAATGTTTTTAACATACCATCACATCTATCAAATTTTCCCCCCATTGAATTCCTAAAAAGCAGATAAAGCAGGCATCAGTTACATATTCAAATATAAACTGAGGCCCAGGTAAAAATCAGCAATGAGTTTGTCAGACTCATATAGCAAACTTGAACCAGAACTGAAACTAATTACCTGACTCCATATGTACTTTCTTATTTTATCACCCTATTCGATTTCCCTAAAATTCCATTTGGCATAAAGAATATACCATGATTAGAGAAATAAAATTTTAAAAAATCTAGTCCATCTTAACTCTGATGTGGTTTTTCACAGCTCTCAGGTTTGAGTAACCACAAAAAACCTAATTCATACTGACAATACTCACTGATCTGTTCTTCTTGGGTTATTGGCTCCTCATCATCTGGAAGGTAACGCTTATCAATTGCCTCTTTAATCTGGTTATTGGCTCCTTTAGGATCTAAATCCATAGCCCAAGAGAAATTCATCAGGGCGAGATGCGTCTGACCTAACTTCTTGTAAACCTAAAAATAAACAGCAGCACTACATTTTTCATTAAGTTGTGAGCTTCAACTATAAAATCCTAAACATTTATCATTTAAATTAGGCTCCTGATGTATGTGCTATAGACCCATTCTGATGACTAGGACATTTTCATCCTATAGAAGAACTCATGCCAACTTTTGAGTTCCTTTTAATATATTCAGATGTTATTTTTAGAATTCCTTGCCTTCATCTCTCAGGTAGTGAGATTCCAATAAAATATCACTCTGAATGGAACAATGACAATGGAAAAGAAATGGATTATAAACTGCTTGTTTAGCATTCATTTACAATGGTTCTTAAATGGAATTATTTAAACTCTTAACATCTGTCCACTGTTACCAACTACCTTAACCAACTGACATCTGGAAGCCCAGTCTGCACTGCTATTCATTTTCTTCTTTTGGTATTTTCTTAAATGTTAAAACTAAATCCATTCTTTATTCCCAGAGCATTTAGTTCAGAACTCTAGTTGAATTTGCTCCCTAAGTGTTACACAATAAGCATTATACTTATTCTCCAAAAGTTTACATTTGTTATGAAAGCCACAGTTTAGGACTATGGCCCCAATCTTTACCTTTCCTATTAAGAAGTACACGAGGGATTCTTTGGGAACAATTTGTTTCAATTCTTCAAGTTCTTGTAAAGCAGACTGCAAGAAGCAGAGAAAAACAACAGTAGCAAATTTTTACAAAGTTTCGACTAAGCAGGTATTATTTGATTTCCCAAATCATCTTAACTAAAGCTTACTAGATCTTAATGAATGACAACAGGAACTAAGAAATGACAGCAATTTACCAGAGTATACTGAAAACACACATTCATTCAGGTAGTGACAACCCTTGCTTTTGTCACTATTTTATTAAAAATAACAATACTCCATCACATAGTTGCAGAAAAAATCAATTCCAAAGTTCCATTAATAGACCTCCCTGACATAAGCACTAAGCATCATGTTGCATTTTAACTAATGATGAAGAGGCTCAAATTTAACACTCTGAATTGAATTAAAGCTGTCTAGTAATCTTTCTTCCTTCCCTCCCTCCCTCCCTCCCTTCCTTCCTTCCATTTTATTTTGTTAATCCTCACCCGAGGATATTTTTCCATTGTTTTTTTATTTTTATTTTTTTATCCTCACCAGAGGACACTTTTCCATTTTTTGTTCAGGTAGAGCGGGAGGGAGAGAGAGGGAGAGAGAGAGAGAAACATCGACGTGAAGGGACACATTGAGTGGCTGCCACCTGCACCACCAACCAGGGCCGAGGACAAACTGCAACCGAGGTACGTGCCCCCTAGTGGGAACTGAACCCGGATCTCTCTGGACTGCAGGCCGACGCTCTAACTGCTGAGCCAAACTGGCCAGGGCCATTGTTTTTTTAGATAGAGTAGAAGGGCCCTGGCCAGTCAGCTTAGCAGTTAAGAGTGTCAGCCCGTGGACCAATGAGTTGTGGGTTCAATTCTGGTCAAGGGCACATACCTTGACTGCAGTTCATCCCTGGCCCTGGTTGGGTCACGGGAGAGGCAACCAATCGATGTGTCTCTCTCACATTGATGTTTCTATCTCTCCCTCTCTCTCTTTCTCTCTCCCTTCCTCTTACTCTGATGATAAATAGAAAAATATCCTTGAGTGGGGATAAAAAAAAAAAAAAGAGTAGAAGGGAGAGAAAGGGAGAGGGAGAAGGAGAGGGGGAGAGAGGGGGAGAGGGAGAGGGAGAGGGGAGACATCAATTGGATGCCTCTTGCACAACCCTGAATGGGGCTAAAGGTTGAACCTGCAACCCAGGTAGGTGCCCTTGACTGGGATTCAAACTTGCGACCCTTTGGTCCTCGGGCCAACACTCTAACCACTGAGCCAAACCAGCCAGGGCTGTCTAATAATCTTTTGACCATTGCTAGAGACTTGGGGAGATTGAGGAGAAAAAGAAGAAATAAAATTTGTATTTAAAGAAATTATATAATGAGCCCTAGCTAGTGTGGCTCAGTTAATTGAACGTCATCCTACGCACCAAAATGTCACTGTTTCAATTCCCATTCAGGGCACGTGCCCAGGTTGTGGGCTCCATCTCCCAATTGCAGGCTCGATCCTCAGTAGGGGGCATGCAAGAAGCATCCAATCAATGTTTCTCACATCAATATTTCTTTTTCTTTTTAAATACGTTTTTATTGATTTTTTAGAGAGACAGATGAGAGAAATACATCAACTGGCTGCCTCCTGCATACCCCGTACTAGGGATCAAGCCCACAACCCTGGCATGTGCCCTGACCAGGAATGGAACCAGGACTTCTCAGTCCATTAGTCCACTGGAGGACACTCAATCCACTGAGCTACACTGGCGGGGCTCAGATAGATATTTCTATCTCTCTTTCCCTAAAAACAAAACAAAAAATCAATAGAAACAAATTTAAAAAATACAATAAAAAATAAAATCAGCCCTGGCAGGTTTGGCTCAACGGTTAGAGCGTCGGCCCGCTGACCAGAGAGGCCCAGGTTCGGTTCCCGCTAAGGGCATCTACCTCGGTTGCAGTTTGTCCCCAGCCCTGGTTGGGAGGCAGCCACTCGATGTGTCCCTTTAACATCGATGTTTCTCTCGCTCGCTCTCTTCCTCTCTCCTTCCTGCTCTATCTGAAGATAAATGCAAAAATGTCCTCAGGTGAGGATAAAAATGAAAAAAAAATAAAATAAAAATAAAATAAATGAAAATATTTAAAAAAATAAAAAAGGTCTGGTCAGTGTGGCTCAGTGGTTGAACATCAACCCATGCACCAAGAGGTCATTGGTTCAATTCCCAGTCAGGGCACATGTCCAGGTTGTGGGCCGAATCCCCAGTAGGGGGCATGCTGGAGGCGGCCAATCGATGCTCTCTCTCATCAATGTTTCTCTCTCTCTCTCTTCCTTCCTCTCTATCTCAAATAAATAAAGAAAAATGAATGAATGAATGAATGAATGAATGAATAAATAAATAAAGCCCTGACCGGTTTGGTTCAGCTGTTAAGAGTGTTGGCCTGTGCAGCTGTTAAGAGTGTTGGCCTGTGGACCAATTAGTTGCGGGTTCAATTAGTTGCGGGTTCAAGGGCAGGTACCTTGGTTGTGGTTCGTCCACGGCCCTGGTCAGGATTGTCCACGGCCCTGGTAAGGATCGTGCCGGGAGCAACTTGTCAATGTGTCTTTCTCACTCGATGTTTCTCTTTCTCTCTCTCTCTCTCTCTCTCCCTGCTCACTCCCACTTTATCTGAAGATAAATGGAAAAGTATCCTCGAGTGAGGATTAAAAAAATAAAAATAAAATAAAAACTACACCCTGGCCAGTTTGGCTTAGCGGTTAGAGCATTGGCCTGCAGACCAGACATTCTCAGGTATGGTTCCTGCTAAGGGCACGTACCTCGGTTGCAGTTTGTCCCCGGCCCTGGTTGGGGTCATGTGGGTGGCGACAAGTTGATGTGTCTCTCTCACATTGATGTTTTTCTCTCTCTTTTCCCCCTTTTCTCCCTCCTGCTCTATCTGAAGATGAATGCAAAAAAAAGTCCTCGGGTGAGGATAAAAAATAAAAATAAATAAATAAATAAAAAAGGGCAAAAACAGTAGGACTAGATATTCACTTCTTCAAAAAGAAAAACAGAGTTAAGACTAGAATTATTGAATAAATGACATAGAATAAATTCTACATTTGATTCCTTTTATACAGGTTGTCCCCCCAAAATATATACATACACTATTGCAGATTCTATTACATTTTCAAAATGAAATGTATTTTAATAAACACTGCCTTTATAATTATTCTAAGCATGTATATATTTTTTTGGGGGGGTACACCGTGTATTTTGCTAAAAAATATTTTTCCTTATTGATTTTTTTTTTTATCCTCACCCGAGGACATTTTTCTATTTTTTGTTCAGATAGAGTGGGAGGAAGAGAGAGAGAGAGAGAGAGAGAGAGAGAGAGAGAGAGAGATCAATGTGAAAGGGACATACTGAGTGGTTGCCAACTGCATGACCCAACCAGGGCCGGGGACAAACTGCAACCGAGGTACGTGCCCTTAGTGGGAACCGAACCTGGCTCTCTCTGGACCGCAGACCGATGCTCTAACTGCTGAGTCAAACCGGCCAGGGCTCCTTATTGATTTTTAGAGAGAGAGAGAAACATCGATTGGCTGCCTCCTGCATGACCCTTACTGGGGATCAAGCCCACAACCTGGGATGTGCCCTGACCGGGAATCAAATTGGTGACCTCTTGGTGCGTGGGTTGATGCTCAACCACTGAGCCACACTGGCTGGGCAATCTTACTTTTTTAGTTTTTTTTTTATCCTCACCCGAGGATATTTTTCCATTTTTTGTACAGATAGAGTGGGAGGGAGAGAGAGGAAGGGAGAGAAAGTGAGAAACATCGACGTGAAGGGACACATCGAGTGGCTGCCACCCGCACGACCAACCAGGGCCGGGGACAAACTGCAACCGAAGTACGTGCCCTTAGCGGGAACCGAACCCGGGTCTCTCCGGACCGCAGGTCGACACTCTAACCGCTGAGCCAAACTGGCCAGGGCCAATCTTACTTTTTAAAAAAAAATATGTTTTATTGATTTTTTAGAGAGAGGAACGGAGAGAGAGACAAAAACATCAATGTAAGAAACATCGATCAGCTGCCTCCTGCATGCCCCCCACTGGGGATCAAGCCTGCAACCTAGGCATGTTCCCTGACTGGGAATTGAACCCAGACCTCTCAGTCCATGGGAGGCCGCTCAATCCACTGAACCACACAGGCTGGGCTAGGCCTTATATTTAAGGTAACTTCCTGATGGAAAACTGCCTTTCTCTCTACAAAATCTTTACAGGGAATAACCACATATTCCTAAATATCTACACAACCATCCTTCCTATGAATATTTCATGAATGAAATTACAAAGACAATGAAATTAATAGCTTTTAAAAATGGGGAAAATGAAATAAACAAGATAAAAATTAAAGTACAAATAACTTTTGGTTTATTACAAAAAGGGGCAAAACTTCCTAAGCAATACAAACCTGAAGACCATTAAGACATATATCTCTTACCTTATATTTTTCATTTGCAAATAAAACTGAGGCTCTGTGAAATTTGCATAGAGGGTTCTTAGGATCAATAACAATGGCTTTGTTTAGGGTATCCAAAGCCTTCTCAGATTTTTTCAGTGCATGCTGAACCTGTAAAAAATAAAAGATTCTATTAATGTTTCCTTTTAATATTTTTGAAGAAAGGTGAGAACCAAATAATGTGACTCAAAACCAATAGAAAGATAATAAAACTACTAGAGATAAGGTTGTATGGTCTCACTGGATTGTCCACTAGGTTAAGTGAATTTAGTAACTGATTACCAAACTGTTAACAGAGTATCTCTAAAATCTCTTCCTACTCTAGTTAAACTGCTTCACTTTAAAGAAAACAATACTTAAGTCCAAAGATGTTAAATAACTTGCTCTGGGATCAGATCCTAGGTCCTCTAGTGTCCAATTCACCATTATGTATCCATAATAATTAAGATCCTATCTTTAGAAAAGACATTAGGTTACCTTTAAGTCTAAAAGGCAAGTAAAACCTTGGTTTTCCCTTCACAAGAAAATCTGCACTATTTAGCTTAGATAATACTCAAATTTCAAAAGGTCTATTATGGTCCTTTAAGTAACAGGCTTTTTAAAAGTGTGTTAAAAATCCCCTAGATTTGGCTCTAAACGTTACAAACCTTGTTTCACTAAGAACTATTACACTTTTACCTATTTTAGAAATTTATTATAAAAATAATTATTCTGTCTTGCATATTCAAAAACCATTAATATGTAATACCAGAAAATAAATTATTTATTTTAAGTAACTTTAAAAAAGACCCAAGCCTCACTATTCATTCATATGTATATACTTATATTCTGCTATGTTCCTCCTTGGATGAGTTACATGTTAGAAATAAAGTGATGGATGTGGCTGTGGAACTTTAACCAATGTCACTGTGAAAGTTGGTACTGCCAACATCTGGTTGCTAAATTAATCTATGCAATGATCTTTGCAGAAGGTTATTACTACATGTGGCCAAATACTCTGCCCACAAGGCTGAAATCCTAAATTCTAGGTTCCTTAACAGAGAAAAGCACACTCTTTTTTTTTTTTTATCCTCAGCCGAAGACATTTCTTCATTTTTTATTCAGATAGAGTGGGAGGGAGAGAGAGAGAAATATCGATGTGAAAGGGACACATTCAGTGGTTGCCACCCGCATGACCCAACCAGGGCTGGGGACAAACTGCAACCAAGGTACATGCCCTTAGCGGGAACCGAACCTGGGTCTATCTGGACCACAGGCCGACGCTCTAACCACTGAGCCAAACCGGCCAGGGCAAAAGCATACTCTCTTATCTGACAACGTCCTCCAATAAACCACTCAAAATGTTAAAAACAATCTCTTCCACAATAACTTCAAAAGAAAGCTTATTTTTTAAAAATGTCCAACTTTCCTAAAAATTATCAAGAGATACTCGTTTGATTTCCTCATCTTAAGTGATGAAAATAATTTTTAAGTCAACATATGTTCTCTCTCTCTCTCTCTCTATATATATATATATTTTTTTTTAAATCCTCACTCGAGGATATTTTTCCATTTATTTTCAGACAGACTGGGAGGGAGACAGAGAGAGAGAGAAACATCAATGTGAGAGAGACACAATCAGTTGCCTCCCGCTCAACCCCAACGAGGGCTGGGATCGAACCACAACTGAAGCATGCATTCTTGACTGGAATTGAACCCGTGACTCTTTTGGTCTATGGGCTGATGCTCTAACCACTAAGCAAACCAGCCAGGGCTTTCTCTATTTTTTGCATAGTATCTAACCATAAAATTTACCATGTCAATTTTAAGAAAAATTATAAAGAACTATAATTCTTCCCCCCAAATGAATAGTAAAATTAAAAAAAAACATCATTTCCCCATATTGTATGCTGATTCCCATAAAACAAACTTGTTGAGAGAAAGATAAAGGGGTGGGGGAGAGAAAGAGGAGAGAGAGCAAGAACAAAAACTTAAGCTACTGAGCTTACAAATAAACGAATAAATAAGATTTTAATAAGCAAACATACCTTCCTCCTATCAAAGTACAACTTATTATCAGATATATAAAAATTTTTAAACATAAGCCCTGGCCAGTTTTGCCCAGTGGTTAGAGCGTCGACCTGAGGATCAGAGAGACCTGGGTTCGGTTCCCGCTAAGGGCGCGTACCTTGGTTGCAGTTTGTCCCCGGCCCTGGTTGGTCGTGCAGGTGGCAGTCACTCGATGTGTCCCTTTCACATCGATGTTTCTCTCTTTCTCTCTCTCTCTCCCCCTCCCACACTCTATCTGAAAAAAAATGAAAAACAATATCCTCGGGAGAAGATAAAAAAAAAAAATTTTAAACATAAAATTAGTGATCTACATTGCCTTATAATAATTATAATTAACACTAATATACCTATATCACTTAAGAGGCTACAACACAGGAAACCACTTGCCTTAAAATATTAATTGCTTAATATAGGAGCTAAATAGTAATGTGGAAAAATACTTTTAAAAAAAATAAAGTATCTCATGTGAGTCTTATAAGAACCCTATGAGGTAGGCAAGGTGGTATTATTTGTCATTCATAAAATAGAAGCTCAGAGAAACTAAGTGACTTGCCCAAGAGATGAGGCTACATCAGTTATTTCTCTTTATGCCAAAAAAAGGTGGTGTTTTTGGCTGTAAAAGAACCCAGGATACTGTTTCAAGAATAACAATGGTAACAAAAAGTCCCTAATTCTTATTCTAGCAATGAAGCCAATAACAAACACATTTCAAATGGGAGATAGAACGTTTACAAAGCTACTTACTACTCCAATGTGGCAAAGTAAAACTGAACTTTGAGGGTTAATATCAAGTGCTTTCTGGAAATGCATTTCTGCAAGGCTGAATTTTTCTTGCTTGTAATAAATCATTCCTAAACCATACCTGAAAGTATAAACGTATAGTTTTAGAGATATGGTGGCTAATTTGTTCAACTAATAAAAGAATTATATGTGGAACCTAATAAACCAGTAGAAAAATCATCAAAGCATTTTAGACAAGTCACTTTTACATGTAAAAACAGTAAGTCAAATCAATCCATCAGATAAAACTGACAATGTGGAAAAAAAGAAACCACATCCTTAAACCCACTACTACAATCAAGATTTAACAGCTACTTTTTACTGTGTGGTGGTTATGTATGTGCTAACAACTTTGTTAAATTCTTTACATAAATTACCTAATTTAATCCTAGGAGAAACCAAGGAGATTGTACTGTTATTATTCACATTTTCAAATAAGAAAACTGAGGCTTAGAGAAGTTAAATTAACTTGCCCAAAGTTAATAGCTAATAAGCACTCTAACCAGATCCTTCCTTTATGATTCCAAAACCCTAAACTCCTAACAATGCTATTTCCATATTCTTTGTCCAAATGTGTACCTATTTTATGTAATTACAATACACAAAGTGTCATGTTCCTCTTCCCCTCTCCTCACTTACTATATCAAAAACATGCTCCTATAGACTTCAAAATTATAAATTTTAAAGGCTGTATAATAGCATATTAGGTTGATATACAGGTATTTCTCCTGAATTTTTAAAACATCAAATGAATACAGTGTGACTGACTTGCATTAAGGAGACCTCTCTTGATTATAACTAGATAATGATGATCAAATAAGCACTAAATGAATAAGAAAAAACACACACACTGTATCTGCTTTGAGTGGCTTTGTTTATCATTATAATGGTATCAGAGGTGAAGAAAGGGTATAAAACGCTCTACTAATGATGGTGAAGGTGGGGCTAACAAAAGAAAGACTATTTACTTTGGAGCTGGAATAATAACTTTACTTAATGTTTAGTTAGATACTTATAGTTAACTAAATACCTTAATATTTAAATTCTTCCTAGTAAAAGCCTGCCACTCTGAATATTCCTTTTTCCCAAATGAAACAATAATTTTTACAACATAATTTTTGACACAGTAAAGTTTTTAAGAATGAAAGACAGAATAGACACTACACATCTAGGAAAACAAGTCCTATTATAGACTGAATTTTTTAAAAAACATTTTTTTCTTTATTGATTTGAGAGAGAAAGGGAGAGGGAGACAGAGAGAGAGAAACATCGACGAGAGAGAACCTCGATCGCCTCCTGTGCGCCCCCACTGGGGAATGGCCTGCCACCTGAGCATGTGCCCTGAACTGGAATCAAACTGAGGACCTCTTCATGTATGGGTTGACTCTCAACCACTGAGCCACACCAGCCGGGCTACAAACTGAATTCTTAAAATATTACAGAGAACTTTATATTTATGTGAAGAGAAGTCAGTGTTGACAAGGCCTGGCTGCTTTTTATTTATTTTATTTATTTATTTATTTTTAAAAAAATTTTTGGTGCGTGCCCCTAGCGGAAACTGAACCCGGGACTCTCTGGTCTGCAGGCCGATGCTCCAACCGCTGAAACAAACCGGCCAGGGCGGCCTGACTGTTTAATGTACAGCAGAAGCTAGCACTCATCAGGCCATTTTACAAGCAATGTTAACTACTTAGAAATGAGATAAAATTCATTAAAAATATACATAAATCAAAAACTATTTTAGGAAGACTCGACAGTGGTGTTTAACGTGGGTCCTCCCTCGCTCATCCAAACCCAGGAGAGGGAGCCACAAACAACAGAACACCAATGCCCACAGGGAAAATTTGGCAGGCTCCAAAGCCCGTTGTGATAGCCAAAATGGTGAAACAAAGAAACAAATGCTAAATGAAAGAACAAGAGACCTCTACTGAAGATGAGGTAAATGAGGAGCAGTTAAGCAAGTTAACAGAGCTAGAATTCAGAGCCATGATCTTGAGGAAGTTCAACAGCATGAGTACGGACATCAACACCATGAGTAAAGACAAAGAAATGTTGAAAATCAACCAATTGGAAATGAAAAACCACCAAGAAGAAATGAAGAATGACATAGCAGAAATAAAGAACACATTGGAAGGTCTAAACAGCAGAGTAGAGGAAGCTGAGGACCCGATCAGTGAATTAGAAGAAAGGCTAGAAAAAAAATAAACCAATCAGAAAAACAAAAGGAAAAAAACAGGAAGACAGTTTAAGAGAACTGTGGGACAACTGGAAACATAATAATATTCACATCATAGGAGTCCCCGAAGAAGAAGAAAATAAGCAAGGGTTAGAGAATATATTTGAAGAAATAGAGACAGAAAACTTCCCTAATTTGGGAAGGAAGAAGGCATTCAAGTTCAAGAAGCATAGAGAGCCCCAAATAAGAAGAACCCAAACAGGCCCACACCAAGACACATTAGTAATTAAAATGTCAAAAGTTAAAGACAAAGAGAGAATCCTACAAGCAGCAAGAGATAAGCAACAGGTTACCTACAAAGGAACCCCCACAAGGCTCTCCTTCTCAACAGAAACACTACAGGCCAGAAGGGAATGGCATGAAGTAATCAAGGTGATGAAAAACAAAGATCTGAATCCAAGACTACTCTACCCAGCAAGGCTATCATTCAAAATAGACGGTCAAATAAAAAGCTTCCCAGACAAAAAAAAGGCTAAGGGAATACATTAGCACCAAACAAGCACTGCAAGAAATGTTAAAAGGACTGCTGTAATTAGTAGAGGAAATAGGAAGAAAAATATAACCACACTAAACAAAAATGGCAATAAATAAGTACATATCAGTAATCACCTTAAATGTAAATGGATTGAATGCTCCCATAAAAAGACACAGAGTAGCTGATTGGATAAGAAAGCATGACTCATCTATATGTTGTTTACAAGAGACCCACCTGACAACAAAAGACTCACATAGGTTGAAAGTGAAGAGAAGGGATGAAAAAAAAATCTTCCAAGCAAATGAAAAGGAAAAAAAAGCTTGGCTAGCAATACTTATATCTGATGAAATAGACTTCAAAATGAAGGCCATAACTAGAGACAAAGAAGGCCACTACATGATATTGAAAGGATCTATCCAACAGGAAGATATAACCTTGATAAACATATATGCACTCAATATAAGGGCACCAAAATATATTAAAAATCTTCTGGAGGACTTCAAAGGAGAAGTTGACAGCAATACAATCATAGCATGGGACTTCAACACCCTGCTGACATCAATGGATAGATCCTCTAGACAAAAAATTAGCAAGGAAACAGAGACTCTAAATGAAGCACTAGGCCAAATGGATTTAATAGATATCTACAGAGAATTATGCCCCAAAACTACAGAATTAACATTCTTCTCAAGTGCACGTGGGATATTCTCAAAGATAGACCACATGTTAGGACACAAACTAAATCTCTACAAGTTCAAGAAGATTGAAATCATAATAAGCAACTTCTCAGATCACAATGGCATGAAACTAGAAATCAATTGCAACAAGAACATGCAAAGACATTGGAACACATGGAGGCTAAATAGCATGTTATTAAACAATGAATGGGTTATCGAGGAGATCAAGAAAGAAATTAAAAACTTCCTGGAAACCAATGAATATGAACACACAACAGCACAAAATGTATGGGATGCAGCAAAAGCAGTTCTGAGAGGGAAGTTCATAGCACTACAGGCCTACCTCAAGAAACAAGAAAAATTTCTAATAAACTATCTAACCTCACAACTTAAAGAACTAGAAAGCAAAAAGAAAACCCAGAGCAAGTAGAAGGAAGTAAATAGTAAAGATCAGAGCAAAAATAAATGACATAGAGACCAAAAAAACAAATCAAAGGATCAATGAAACAAAGACCTGGTTTTTCGAAAAGATAAACAATATTGATGGACCCTTAGCTAGACTCATCAAGAAACAAAGAAGAGAACCCAAATACACAAAATCAGAAATGAAAGAGGAGAAGTAACAACTGACACCACAGAAATACAAAAGATCGTTAACAACTATTATGAACAATTATATGGCAACAAATTCGACAATCTAAGCAAAGTGGACAAATTTCTAGAAACACATAGTCTCCCAAAACTGGACAGGGGAGAGATAGAAAACTTGAACAGACCAATAACAACTAAGGAAACTGAAGAGGTAATCAAGACATTCCCAGCAAATGAAAGCCTAGGCCTGGATGGCTTCACGGGGGAGTTTTATCGAACATTCAAAAAAGAACTAACACCCATTCTCCTCAAACTATTTCAAAAAATTCAAGAAGAAGGAAGACTTCCAAACTTGTTTTATGAGGCCAGCATAATTCTAATTCCAAAACCAAAAAAAGACACTACCAAAAAAAGAAAACTACAGGCCAATATCCCTGATGAACATAGGCGCCAAAATCCTGAACAAAATACTAGCAAATCGAATCCAGCAATACATCAAAAAAATTATTCACCATGACCAAGTGGGAGTCATCCCAGAAATGCAAGACTGGTAAAATATTTGCAAATCAATAAATGTGATACACCACATAAATAAAATGAAGAATAAAAACCACACGATCATATCAATACATGCTGAAAAAGCATTCGACAAAATCCAGCATCCATTTCTGATAAAAACGCTCAGCAATGTGGGAATAGAGGGATCATATCTTGACATAATAAAGGCCATATACGAAGACCTACAGCCAACATCATACTCAATGGACAGAAACTAAAAGCATTTCCCTTAAGAACAGGAAGAAGACAGGGATGCCCACTTTCACCACTCTTTTTTTTTTATCCTCACTCGAGGACATTTTTTGATATTTTGTTCAGATAAAGTGGGAGGGAGGGAGGGAGAGAGAAACATCGATGTGAAAGGGACACATCGAGTGGTCACCACCCATAGGACCCAATCAGGGCCGGGGACAAACTGCAACGGAGGTACGTGCCCTTAGTGGGAACCGAACCCGGACCTCTCCAGACCGCAGGCCAATGCAATAACCTCTGAGCCAAACTGGCCAGGGCTCACCACTCTTATTTAACATAGTACTGGAAGTCTTAGCCACAGCAATCAGAAAAAATAAAAGGGATCCAAATTGCAAAGGAGGAAGTGAAACTGTCATTATTTGCAGATGACATGATATTATACATAGAAAACCCTAAAGACTCCATCAAAAATCTACTAGACTTAATAAATGAATTTGGCAAAGTAGCAGGATACAAAATTAACATCAAGAAATCAACGGCATTCTTATATACCAATGATGAATTTTCAGAAAGAGAAACTGAAAAAACAATCCCATTTACCATCATGGCAAAAAAAATTAAGATACCTAGGAATAAACTTAACCAAAGAAGTAAGGACCTGCCCTGGCCAGTTTGGCTCAGCGGTAAGAGCGTCGGCCTGCGGTCCGGAGAGACCCGGGTTCGGTTCCTGCTAAGGGCACATACTTTGGTTGCAGTTTGTCCCCGGCCCTGGTTGGTCGTGCGGGTGGCAGCCACTCGATGTGTCCCTTCACGTCGATGTTTCTCTCTCTCTCTCCCTTCCTCTCTCTCCCTCCCACTCTATCTGTACAAAAAAATGGAAAAATATCCTCGGGTGAGGATTAAAAAAAAAAAAAAAGAAGAAGTAAGGACCTATTTGCAGAAAACTACAGGACATTGGAAAAAGAAATAGAGGAAGATATAAAAATGTGGAAGCACACACCTTGTTCATGGATTGGAAGAATTAACATCTTAAAATGTCCATATTACCCGAAGCAATCTATAGATTCAATGCAATCTCCATCAAAATACCAACGACATATTTCACAAAACTAGAACATATACTTCAAAAGTTCATATGGAACCAAAAAAGACCCCGAATAGCCACAGCAATCTTGAAAAAGAAGGACAAAGTAGGTGGGATCACAATACCGGATATCAGGTTATACTACAGAGCTACTGTAATCAAAACAGCCTGGTACTGGCACAAGAACAGGCATACAGACCAGTGGAACAGAACAGAGAACTCAGAAATGGACCCAAGACATTATGCACAATTAATATTTGACAAAGGAGGCAAGAGCATACAATGGGGTAAAGATAGCCTCTTTAATAAATGGTGCTGGGAAAATTGGACAGCTACATGCAAAAAAATGAAACTAGACCATCACCTTACACCATACACTAAAATAACCTCAAAATGGATAAAAGACTTAAATGTGATCCGTGAATCCATAAAAATCCTAGAAGAAAATGTAGGCAACAAAATTTCGGACATCATACACAGCAGAATTTTCACTGATAGATCACCTAAGGCAAAAGAAACAAAGGAAAAAATGAACACATGGGACTACATCAAACTAAGAAGCTTCTGCACAGCAAAAGAAATAACCATCACAATGGAAAGGCAACCCACTGTACGGGAGAGCATCATTGCCAATGATACATCAGATAAGGGTTTAATTTCCAAAATATATAGAGTGCTCATACAACTCAACAAAAGGAAGACAAAGAACCCAATTAAAAAATGAGCAAAGGAGTTGGATAGACACCTCTCCAAACAGGGCATACAAATGGCCAATAGACATATGAAGAAATGCTCAACATCACTAATCATCAGAGAGATGCAAATTAAAACAACAATGAGGTATCACCTCACACCTGTCAGAATGGCTGCCATCAACAAATCATCAAACAAGTGTTGGCAAAAGTGTGGAGAAAAGGGGCCTCTAGTACACTGCTGGTGGGAATGCAGACTGGTGTAGCCATTATGGAAAACACTATGGTGTTAACTCAAAACATTAAAAATTAAATTACCATTTGACTCAGTGACCCCACTTCTAGGAATATACCCTAAGAAGTCTGAAACACCAATCAGAAAGAATATATGTACCCCCATGTTCATAGCAGCACTATTTACAATAGCTAAGATCTGGAAACAGCCCAAGTGTCCATCAGTAGACGAATGGATAAAAAAGCTGTGGTTATGGTACATATACAAAATGGAGCACTATGCAACTGTAAGAAAGAAAGATCTCTTATCCTTTGAGACGACGTGGAGGAACCTGGAAAGTATTATTCTAAGCGAAACAAGCCAAGCAGAACAAGACAAATACCACATGATCTTACTTGTGTAATATAATGATCATAACAGTCTGAGGAATAGGGTAGACCCAGAGACATGGAAGTAGAGTACAGAGTGACAACCCTCCGAAGAGGGAGTGTGGGGGGAGGGAAGAGAATAAAAAAAAAAGAAAAAAAACTATTTTAGGAATCTAGTGCCTCAGATTTAGTGAGAAACAGAATAAAATTCAACTGCTTTAATGATTAACTCAAAAGATAAAACAAAAACAAAAAAAACAAAGTCTGACATAAAAACTACCCAAAATACCAAAATAATACTTAAAAAAAATGTTTTTAATGATTTTAAGGTGAGAGAGAAAGGGAAAGGGAGAGAAAAACACAGATTGACCGCCTCTTGCACACCCCCTACTGGGGATTGAGCCTGAAACCTGGGCATCTATCAGTGACCTCCCGGTGCATGGGATGATGCTCAAGCAACTGAGCCACATAGGCCAGGGCAAAATAACACCTCTTTATATTTTAACTATTAAGCCAGTCAAGAAAAATATAGTAAAACATCAGCAGTAAATATAGTGTTGAGGCAGAATAAGAACAAACTTTCCCATGTCTTCTTCAGTTGATGACAATATGAGCCAGGTTGTACCTTCTTATCTGTCTACTTGTGCACAAGTACAAAAAGTAAAACCTGAGTTCTTAATAAACTTAATTAACTAGAATCAGTACTTATAAACTAGAACAGTGTCAAAGAACAACTAGTAGATGGTTTTCAATGTTTATATTCTATTATCCAATGGTGAATCATACTACTTCTCTCCACTTTCCATCATAATCACCATTTTAGTGTTCTAAGAGAAAGAAATCAAAGTTATAAAACCAATTATTTGCAAAAGTCTGGTAGGAGAAAAGGTTGAAACTGTTGAGTATAAGGATCTGGTATTCTATGATCTAGTATTCTATTATCATTAGTTAATTGAAGAGTTTGTTAACGGTATAAACCTCACATAAAAAACATTTTGGTTGGATGTTATCAACTAGTATGTACCAATCTTAAGTATTAGTAATCAAATTCATGACAATAAAGAGATATTTAACAAGAAATATTACTAAGTATCGGCCCCATCAATAAGACACTGTCTTTGCACAGCAATAGCACTTACCATGCATTATAATGTCTAGGATTGACTCTGATAGCATTTCGAAAACAAGCTAATGCTTTGTCTAATTCTTCAGTTAAGACAAACTCGTGCCCTAACAGAGTATAGGCATAAGCATAATTTGGATCAACCTGGATAGCTCTCTGGAAGAATTTAATTGCAATATCATGTTCCCGTTGCAAACTGAAACAGTTCCCTGCAGCACACCAGGCCTTAAAAAAATGGAAACAAAAAACAAATGCACAATTAAATTTTTGTTTTATTTTTTTCCTAACAACAAATCTATGGCTAAAATTAAAACAGAAAGAGAAAATCTGAACAGTTTTTTTTGTTTTGTTTTGTTTTTTAATCCTCACCCAAGGATATTTTCCCATTTGATAGAATGAGAGGGAGGGAGGGAGGGAGGGAGGGAGAGAGAGAGAGAAAGAGAGAGAGAGAGAGAGAAACATGGACTGGTTGCCTACCACGAGAACCCAACCAGAGCCTGGGACTGAACTAAGGTATGTGCCCTTGACCAGAATCAAAGCCATGACTCTCTGGTTTGTGGGACAATGCTCTAACCACTGAGCAAAACCAGCCAGAGCAAAACTGAACAGTTTTAATAGATATAGTCAATCTTTATTATTCACAGATTCCATATCTGCAAAACTGCCTACTTCCTAAAATTTATTTTAAAACCCAAATTAGCCCTGACCAGTTTTGCTCAGCAGTTAGAGTGTCAGCCTGCGGTCCAGAGAGACCTGGGTTCGGTTCCCGCTAAGGGCACGTACTTCAGTTGCAGTTTGTCCCCAGCCCTGGTTGGGTCATGCGGGCGGCAACCACTCGATGTGTCCCTTTCACGTTGATGTTTCTCTCTCTCTGTCTCTTCTTCTCTCTCCCTCCCACTCTATCTGAACAAAAAATGGAAAAATATCTTCGGGTAAGAATAAATAAAAATAAAACCCAAATCAATACTTGCAGTGCTTTAGTGGACCCAAAATATGGGTTGCCTCAATATTATCAGTTGAGTTAAAAAAAGGACAATTCATGCCCTGGACGGTGTGGCTCAGTAATTAGAGCATCTGCCTGCACCCAGGAGTCTTGGGTTTCATTCCTAGTCAAGGGCACCTTGGTTGTAAGTTTGATGCCTAAGTCAACCAATCTATGTCTCTCTCCCTTCCCCCCTCCCACTCTATCTGAAAGTCAATGGAAAAATATCCTCAGGTGAGGATTTTTAAAAAAAGAATGGCCTTCTTGTTTTAGCAGGTCAGTGACCAAAAGATAGACACTGTAGGGGGCCAGTGCATGGAGTGCTTGGGTTCTGGGGCCAGATGGACAGTTTGAATCCCATCTCTGGCACCTGCTTGTATGGTGGCCTCAGGAAGACACCTTAACCCTTCTGCAGCTCATTTTCTTTTTTGTAAAATAAATAGAATGTACCAGGCCAAGTTGTTTTTAGGATAAAAGATGATAATCTATAATGAGGATGTGTGTGTGTGTTGTGTTTATTTCTCCAAGGAGCCATGATTCAGTATATGCTAATTCATCGGAGACTACAGAACATAACTCCCAAGTATAATAGGAACTGACTTTTATTTTATTCATTCATTCACTTTTGGTACGTGCCCCTAGTGGAAACCAAACCCGGGACTCTCTGGTCCACAGGTCAGCGCTTCAACCGCTGAGCCAAACCATCCGGGGGTGACTTTTAAATATGTTATAAAATTACCACTAAATATTCTTGAGATGCACTGAAATGTAATTCTTTTTTTTTTAATCCTCACCTGAGTATATTTTTCTATTTATCATCAGACAGAGTGGGAGAGGAAGAGAGGGAGGGAGGGAGGGAAGGAGACAGAGAAACATCGATGTGAGAGGGCACATTGGCTGCCTCCTGCATGACCCTGACCAGGGCCAGGGATGAACCGAAACCGAGGTATGTGCCCCTGACCAGAATCGAACCTGCAACTCATTGGTCTGTGGGCCAATGCTCTAATTGCTAAGCCAAACAGGCCAGGTCTCTTTTTTAAAAAAATATGTTTCTAAAAAACTTTTTAGGGAGAGAGAGATAGAACCATGAATATGAGAGATACATTGATCTACAGCCTCCTACACGCCCCCTACTGGGGATCAAGCCCAAAACCTGGGCATGTGCCCGGACTGAAAATGGAACCAGGACCTCTCAGTCCATGGGATGATGCTCAATCCACTGAGCAACACTGGCTGGACTGAAATACAATTCTTACAGGATTGCAGCATATAAATGAATTGTGCTTATGTCTTTTTTTTTTTTTTAACCCTCACCTGAGGACATTTTTCCATTTTTTGTTCAGATAGAGTGGGAAGGACAGAGAGGAAGAGAGAGAGAGAGAGAAACATCAACGTGAAAGGGACACATCAAGTGGCTACCACCCTCACGACCCGACCAGGGCCGGGGACAAACTGCAACCGAGGTACATGCTGTTAGTGGGAACTGAACCCGCGTCTCTCTGGACCGCAGGCTGACATTCTAACCGCTGAGCCAAACCAGCCAGGGTGAATTGTGCCTATGTCTTAAAATGACAATTAACTTTACTATTTTATTTCAATTTAAAATGAGCAATTTTTCAATCTATGTAATTTCTGCTTAATGAACTCTATTCTATATCATTTTAACATAGCCAATCTCTATTAATCCTGAATGAAATACCTACTTTGTGACTTTTCTATTTGGGAATCTGCACCATCTACTTTAGGACTCTCTTCTTTTCTGAGTCCTGCCTATAGAGAAGGGTGTGGATGATATTAAATGGCATTTGAATTATTTGGTTCATCTCAATTTGTTAAGGGTAATAAAAAAAAAATAGCTACATAAGCAAAGTGTTTCAGTTAACATACCTCTGGTGAATTTTTATCCATGTCTGTTAAGTCTTTTGAAAGAACTGAAAGAGCAACATCCTTTTGAAGATGCCAAAGTGTTGTAGAGTATATCTCCATGCCTTCAACTCTGTAATTTTCAATTCTTCTAACCTCTGAGAATATTCTTTCAGCCTGAAATACAAAAACTAGTGAGGGGAAAACAAATTGACACAATTTACATATATAGAGAGAGAGTGCTGGGCACTCTTCTCATAGGACTTAAATGCTGCCTTGTTTCATGATGTGTATATGAGTTAGTAATAACACAAGGCCAAATTGAACAACCTTTCATGGAAAGTCAAATGTTGACGTAATCAAAATCATACTTAGTTTTCATATATAAGTCATAGTAGAAACATGATTCTGAAAAAAATTTAAGTTCATACACATACACAAAAGATCTATTCAAAGTTAAGTTTAAAAAGGACAAGTCAATTATTTTATTCTATAAAATCACATTTCAAATTTTCAATAATAGCTTTACAGAATAATTGCTTTAGGAAAGGCGAGAGAAGAATGACTTCTGTAACACAAAACCTATCAGATCAAATTATTTCCTCACCACGCTCATAGCTCCCAGAGCTATGCTTCTCTCCCCCATGAAGTTTGAGATATTGGGTTATATAAAACCAATTAGTTCCCTCATTTATCAATTCAGTAAGTTCAAAATTCTGAACGTCAAGTTTAGTTTAGAATTAAGGAATATCTGGTCTGTTCTTAATGAAATGAAGATGACAGCACTGGCCGGTTTGACTCAATGGTTAGAGTGTTGGCCTGTGGTCCAGAGAGACCCGGATTCGGTTCCCGCTAAGGGCACGTACCTCAGTTGCAGTTTGTCCCCGGCCCTGGTTGGGTCGTGTGGGTGGCAACCACTCGAAGTGTCCCTTTCACGTCGATGTTTCTCTCTCTCTCCCTCCCACTCTATCTGAACAAAAAAATGGAAAAAATGTCCTTGGGTGAGGATAAAAAATAAATAAATAAATGAAAAGAAGATGACAGAATAAGAAAATAGTAAGTATAAAACCAGGAACTTAATTCTAAAAAATGGACATATACTATGTAGGATAGCTAAATAACTTGTAACTTCCCTGAAATTCCTTAAAATTCATACAGAGCCCATGCACCGGAAGGTTGAGGATTCGGTTCCCAATCAAGGGCAGGTTCAATCCCGGCCTTGGTTAGGAGCTGTGTGGGAGGCAACCAATCAATGTGTCTCTCCCACATCAATGTTTCTCTCTCTCTCCACCCCCTTCTCCTTCCACTCTATAAAAATAAAAAAAATAAAAATAAAAATAAATCAATGAAAAAAATATCCTCAGGAAAGGATTAAAAATAAAAGTTATACAGATACGTTTTTCAAACAGGCATTGGTTACAAGCAGACAGACCTAACCACCAGTCAAATACAGGGTTTGGAAATGTTCATTTTCAAATTTTTCAGAATCTACTATTACTTCTGAAAACAATTGTGGCATAGACAAGAAAAAATGTTTTTCTTTTTTTTCCTACCTATCACACTCTGTATAATATAATTAATATACGTATTTTCCCATGCTACTACAAACTCTTTATATTTTTCTAGCTGCACAATGTTTATTGTATAGGTATACCACAGTTTAGATGTTGTTCATCTAAACTATTTCCAACGTTTTGCCTGTAATAAAAGCTGTAGCAAACCAACATCTCTATAAAGCTCTTTTGTTCTTTAAGAAATTTCTTTCAGCTCCCAAAAGAATCCAAATCATTTTGAGTGAATATAAGAGTGATGGGTGTTGATTCAACACTCTAAATATAGTTTGAATACATATTTAGTAACTAATAATTCACATGTAAAATTTTTATATTTAGAGTGCCCATTTATTTTTACAGGTGTTTTCTTACAGTTATTAGTGTATTATGGTAACTTTTGAAATAATGCAACCAACTGTTGTAATGTTCAAAATATTTGTCTTCCAAATGTTCTATTATCATGTGGAATTAGTTTCTCCAGTTCAATTTTTTTTTTAAATCATAAAATTAAGTGAAACAGAGGCTTTCTTCAGCTAAATATCTGGGTCTATTATCTGCTCTATAATTAGGGGAAACAACAAAATTCATGTATTTTAAAGTACCTGTGAAACAAGAAATTAGAAATAATTTTGAAAGGGGCTTGCCAAACACAGATTTTGCCTGTGTACCAGTAAAGGACCATAATCCAAAATGGGTTTTCTAGCAATGAAATAAGGCTATCTACAGTTTTTTTTCTCTTTACGTCACAAAATTACGTGAACATGCATCTTCTTCATTTATTCTCTATCTGGAAGAACATTCCACCCCTAGATCTTTATACAGCTCATTAAGGGAGGAGTAAACTTCCTTCTCTGAGCACACTTAAAAAAAAAATAGCATCATACTTTACTGTCTTCCAATTTCCTTACCATGCTTCATTTTGTTCTTCATATGACTTATTGTCTCTGTCTTATACATTTATTGGCTTACAATCTGTCTCTTTTATTAGAATTAGAATATAAGCTCTATGAAGGCAAGTAAATCTGTCTACCTGTACTACAGTCTAGAAGAGAGTCCAGGACATAACATGAACTCAAATATATACTGAAAAATCAACTGAAAGTAAATAAGGCGAAAAAGTAACATTGTTTATCTTAAACAATTTATATTAGAGACATTGTATTAATATAATGGTTTCTTAAGTTTTTTTCTTTAAGTTTAATTTATAATTACAATTAAAAGGATAAAAGCCTTGTGATAAGGACACCGTGTCTTCAATTACATACAATTTTCTTCATAGCATCCCTCAAGTTTTTAAAATGTATTAAATGCCAAGTGTTCATCTCAATAAGAACTCTGATTATAGTAGAAATAAATAAGCTACAAAAAAATCTATTACATGATAAATATATTTTCAGATCCAACTGAGTAGAGTATAAAAGTTCCACATAAGACTATATAGGCCCTGGTTGGTAGGAGCATTGTCTCCTACACCTAAAGGCTGCAGGTCCAATTCCTGGTCACGGCGTATACCAAGGTTGTTTGTTCAGGGCCCGGTCAGGGACCATACGGGAAGCAAGCAATCCATGCTTCTCTCTCTCTCTCTTAAGTCAATAAACATATCCTTGGGTGAGGATTAAAAAAAATAATGTGTGAATGATTTGGGTTTTCTACAAATCTATTTCAAGTAACCCTAAAGAATTTAAATCACTCACCCCTTAACACAAGAACTGTATTTATAAATTATAAATACTAAGAAAATAAATATAGACATTACATAATAAATATTGACCTTTTAGATCTAGCTTTGCCAAGCATAGGTATTAATTAAATTTCAATTATGGATAGAAAGGCATATATAACTGTCTTCTATACTTACTTGCATGTACTCTGAAAGTTCAAAATAGGCCCTTCCAATTTGGCACAGTACCCAACCAGTATTGTAGTGATGAGAAGGTAGGTGGCTCAAGATATTTATAGCTTCTTTGCAGTTGTATGAACACAAAGCTAAATAACCTTTCCCCATTTCACGAAGAAGGCTCATCAAACCTTCTAGGAGAAAACAATGTAGTAAACAAAGGAGAAAAGACAATAAAACAATTTGATTTTCTAGAAAGGCTAATTATAAAATAATTCAGTAAAAATTCCAATATCTACTTAGAAAATATGAAAGACATTTAACGAACATAAAGAAACTTACTTAAAAATAAGTGAGTAAAATAAAATACAAAGAAGATTATTTTGCATTTAAAACAGACCTGCTGCTGCCTTCTGTAGATTAAATGCCTGGATCTGAGGTGTGATTGTGGAGATTTTCCCTTCTGAAATGATGGAAGAGTCCAATTTTGTAATTTCCAGGCTATCATTTATGTTAGGTTGAGTTATTCCTCCTTTATTAGTTTTACTTTTTGTTTTTCTGTTTGGGATTTTAGGTGGAAACTTCATTTTTAGTTTTTTGCTATTCTCCTGTAAAAAGGAGAGAAGCCCCACACTTGTTACACTCATGTATTTTAGACATTCTCCCAACCCTTTCTAAATATTAGATATAAGTAAGTGTACAATCTTTTGTACAATCCTGATTGATGTAAATTTCTTAGAAGAAATTTTATAAAGACAAAGTCTTCAAAGTCATTTAATTTTAAATGATAATGTAAATCATTTGTATTAACTAGTGTTCAAGGTAAATTAGCATTAAATGTCGCTCTTTTCTAAAAGTATAGTTTTCATTTATTATTTAAAAATAAGAAAATAAGTAGATGTAACACTACTTAGTTATCTCAGAGCATAATTAATGTCATAAAACTGTTGATCTGCCTATGTCGAGGTTAAAGACTGCCCATAATATCTGTCAGTGGACCAGGAAAATTTACTGAAGGCATAATGAGATCCTCCAAGTTGTGTAAAGAAATGTGCAAAGAAAACAGAAATTTCCATTTACTCTTCCCCAAATTTTCACCAATGATAACATCTGACATAACCATAGTACATCATCAAATCCAGGAAACTGGAGTTGGTATAACACTATCAACTAAACTACAGATCTTATTTGAATTTCATCAGTTTTTTACATGCACCTTTTTTGGTGTGCATAGTTCTATGAATTTACTACATGTATGGATTTGTATAATCAACTGCCACAAAAAAAAAGACACAAACAGAACTGTTCTACCAAACACAAAGGAATTCCCTTGGGCTATGCTTTAATAGTCACACCTCCCTCAGTCCTTACTCCTAAAAACCACTGATGTGTACTCCACTACCATTTTGTTATTTCAACAATGTTATAAAATATTAAAGGACCAAGAAAATTTACAAATATTATAGATGCCCCCCCAAAAAACATATTAAAAAATTTAAATAGTCACCTAATTTATTTATTAGAGATTGAGCTATCAATGAACAGAAATTATAGAGGGGAAAGCATTTACCTTGGTTGTAGAGCTATCACTAGTAAAAAGTCGTGAACTTCTTCGAGGCAGTGCATTTGGGGGAGATGTGATAGTGGGGCTCAATACCTGAGGTGTTGTACTAAAAAAAATTTATAAAAGTAGACATTTTAAAAAACTCAGTTTATGACTATTAACTATTGCTTCAATTCAGGTATACTAAAAAATAATCATTCAACATATTTGCACTCTAAAGTTGATAGGTTTGGTCAGTCTTTTTCTCATCCCTCTATGAAAACTCAGATTTAGCCCTAGCCAGTTTGGCTCCACGGTTAGAGCGTAGGCCCGTGGACCAATGAGTTGCAGGTTCAATTCCAGTCAAGAGCACGTACCTCGATTGCGGTTCATCCCCAGCCCTGGTCAGGGTCGTGTGAGAGGCAACCTGTTGATGTATCCCTCTCTCATCAATGTTCCCCCTCCCACCACTCTATCTGAAGATAAATAGAAAAATATCCTCCGCCCTGGCCTGTTTGGTTCAGCGGTTAGAGCGTCAGCCTGCGGTCCAGAGAGACCCGGGTTCGGTTCCTGCTAAGAGCATGTACTTCGGTTGCAGCTTGACCTCGGCCCAGGTTGAGTTGTGCCGGTGGCAACCACTCGATGTGTCCCTTTCATGTTGATGTTTCTCTCTCTCTCTCCCCCTCCCACTCTATCTGAACAAAATATGGGAAAATGTCCTCGGGGGGGGATAAAAAAAAAAAAAGAAAAGAAAAATATCCTCCCATGTGGATTAAAAACAAAACAAAAAACCCCTCAGATTTAAATACTATTTGTGTTACCATAAAAAATAATGATTATACCACAATCTTTGCTCTATTTGAAATTGCTAATTTGAACTTAAAACAATCCACATAAAGATTCTGGGTCAGGCCCTGGCCTGTGTGGCTCAGCAGTTAGAGCGTCGGCCCACCGACCAAAGAGTCCCGGGTTCGATTCCAATCAAGGGCACATACTTTGGTTGTGGTTTGGCCCGGCCCCAGTTGGGGTTGTGTGGGTAGCAACCAGTGTCTCCCTCACATTGATGTTTCTCTCTCTCTCTCTCTCCCCCACTCTGCCTGAAGATAAATGTAAAAACACACACACACACACAAAAACGGGTCAATAAAAGGTAAACACATCTATAACTGACGATCTCTAGCCCTCATTTGTAACTATAGCAAATTAGAGAAAAAGAAAAAGATAGTTGAACATGAATAGGCTAAATGTAGTGATATTTGCCAACAAATACCACCAGAACAACTGATATTTGAGAAGTTAGTTCCCTGTAAATCCAAATATCACATCAAGGTTTATAGAGCGAAAGAAATCAAATAATCCTTTGGATACATTTTTTACTTTATTTATTTTTTATTATTATTTTTTATCCCTCACCCAAGGATACTTTTCTATTTATCATCAGACAGAGTGGGAGGGAGGGAGAGAGAGAGAGACAGAGAAACATCGATGTGATAGAGCCACATCAACTGGCTGGGTTCCGCATGACCCAATCCAGGGCTGGGGATGAACCGCAACCAAGGTACATGCCCTTTACCAGAATCGACCCCATGACTCAACTGTCTGAGAGCCAATGCTCTAACCACTGAGCAAAACCAGCCAGGGCTACATTTTTTACTTTAAAAGCAAACCCTACAATATAAGAATTCCATTCTTAGAAAGTAACCTTAAGACCTAAAATTATCTAATTGAAAGTAAACTGTTTAAAATTTATTCAGTTTATTAGAAATCCTACTAGTTACATAAGTTTGGGTCAAAGAGGTTTTTGGAAAGAGATGTTGACCAGTGAGTAAGAATATCCAGGTTGTCCTTAATCCTTTCAAAATACATAATCTCAATGTAGGGATTTCAGCAAGAAAGGTCATTTGTGTTGACCAATTACTTTTTTAAATAAAAAGTTTAACTAATATATTTTTTAACAGTAGTGTAAGGTTCACAGCTATATTGAGGGGGAAAGTAGAGATTTCCCATATACTCTCTTACTTCCCACATGCATACCTTTCCCATGAATCAACATCTGCTACCAGAGTGGTATAATTGTTATAGTTGATGAACCTATATCAACACATCATAACCATCCAAAGTCCATAGTTCACATTAGAGTTCATTCTTGGTTTGGCACATACTATGAATTTGGGCAAATGTATAATTACAGGTAATTATGGTATCATAGTATATTTTCACTGCCCTAAAAACCCTCTGTGCTCTGTCTATTCATTCCTTCCCCTCCTGCAACCATTGATTTTTACTGTCTCTATATTTTGCCTTTCCTAGAAACCAATTCATTTGCCTTTATTTGGTAGTAACAACTATGTGTAATTTATACTACAAATGTAAATTAAATTTTGTCAATATTGCCTAATTATAGGAAAAAGTTTTGTCTGAGAAGTGGGAAGGAATTTCACAGCATGGAGCAGTTTATATGGAGAATAAGCCTGAGAAATATGCTAAGATTGCTTTAAATGGACAGAAGCCTGCATGAAGGCAACATAAATCTTGTGGGGATAGAAGTAAAAATAATAAGAGGGTTCTGGAGTTGGGGGGTTAAAGAAGACAAACTCCTCCCATATTATAATGATTATTATGGTTCTATAAGCTCTTTTGTCATTTGACAAAAGAAAACAAAAAAAGAAACTAAATATCTGACAGTGAACATTTCTTTCTTTTTCTTTTTATAAAATATATTTTTATTGAGTTTTTTTAGAGAGAGAAGAAGGGAGAGACAGATAGAAACATTGATGTGAGAGAGAAACATCAATTGGCTGCCTCCTGCATGCCCCCCACAGGGGATTGAGCCCGAAACCTGGACATGTGCCCTGACTGGCAATTAAACCAGCACCTCTCAGCTATACCTCAGTCCATGGGACAACACTCAGTTCACTGAGCCACACAGGCTGGGCAGTAACCAGTTCTTTTTTTTTTTTTTAATCCTCGCCCGACGACATTTTCCCATTTTCTGTTCAGACAGAGTGGGAGGGAGAGAGAGAGAGAGAAACATCGACGTGAAAGGGACACATCGAGTGGCGGCCACCCACACAACCCAACCAGGGCCGGGGACAAACTGCAACCAAGGTACATGCCTTAGTGGGAACTGAACCCGGGTCTCTCTGGACCGCAGGCCGACAATCTAACCACTGAGCCAAATCGTCCAGGGCTTTTTAAAAAATCTTCACCGGAGGATATTTTCCCATTCATTTTCAGATTAAGTAGGGTCGGGGGGAGGGAGAGTGAAAGAAACATTATCGACTGGTTGTCTCCCTCATAACTCCAACCAGGGCCTGGGACCGAACCGCAACCAAGGTATGTGCCCTTGACCGGAATTGAACCTGCAACTCTTTGGTCCACAGGCCGATGCTCTAACCGCTAAGCCAAATCAGCCAGGGCATGAACAGTTCTTTCAAATACAAAAACAAAGGTGAAATAAAAATTTCCTTCTGACATACAAAAGCTGAAAAAATTCATGATCAGTAGACCTGAACCACAAGAAATGTTAAAAGGATTCCTTCAAAATGAAGGAAAAGAATACCAAATTGAAATTTGGATATACAGAAAGAAATGAAGAGCACCAGAAATTATAAATATGTGAGTAAAAATAAAATAGATTCCTTTTTATTTTTTACAAAATTTCTATAAAGATAACTAAGGCAGAAACTACAACAATGACAACAGCATAAAGACTAGGAGAGGAGCATAAAAAGATACTGTAATAAGGTTTTATGCTATATGTGACAAGGTCTATATTATTACTTGAAGGTAGCCTTTTATAAGTTAAAATACATACTATAAACTCTACACAACCTCTAAAAAGACAAAATAAATACTATTTTTTTCCCTTTATTGATTTTAGAGAGAGAGCAAGGGAGAGGGAGAGAGAGAGATAGAACTATCGATGAGAAAGAACATCAACTGGCTGCCACCTGCATGCCTCCTACTGGGGATCGGGCCCACAACCAGGCACAGCGACCTTTTGGTGCATGGGTCGATGCTCAACCACTGAGCCACACCAGCTAGACAAGACTAATATTAATAAAGCAATGCTATGGACTGAAATGTATCTCCTAAAAAGATATATTGAACCCCTAACCACCAGTACCTATGAATGTGACCTTACTTAAAAATAGGATATTTGCCCTGGCCGGTTTGTCTCAGCGGTTAGAGCTTCGGCCTGCGGACCAGAGAGACCCGGGTTCAGTTCCCACTAAGGGCACGCAATTGCAGTCTGTCCTCGGCCCCGGTTAGGGTTGTGTGGGTGGCAACCAGTGGATGTGTTTCTCTCACATTGATGTTTCTTTGTCTCTTCCTCCCTTTCTCCCCCCTGCTCTATCTGAAATGCAAAGATGTCCTTGGGTGAGGATTAAAAAAAAGGACCTTTGTAGGTGTAGCTATAGTCACGTTAAGATGAGGCCATTAGGGTCCATATTACTGATGTCCTTAAAAGAAAAGGGAAATCTGGATAAAGAGATATAGGGAAGATGGCCACGTGGAGACGATGGAGGTGGATGGACGCGGATACTGAGTTAGGCTCCCACAAACTAAGGAGTGCCTGGGGCTACCAGAAGCTGAAAGAGTTAAGGAAGGATCCTATTCTAGAGGCTTCAGAGGTTGTATGGTCCTGTCAACACTTTAATTTTGGATTACAGTGTCTAGAACTGTGAGTGAATAAATTTCTGTTGTTTTAAGGCTATCCAGTTTGTGGTACTTCGTTACAGCAGCTGTAGGAAATTAATATAGGCAACAAATGAGATAATACAAAAAACACAAAATTATTAATAGTTGATGCTTATTAGTTAGTATATTTATTTGTTTAGTTTTAAGTGAAATGTATAATTCAATAAATTGTTGCCCTGGCCAGTTTAGCTCAATGGTTAGAGCGTCGGCCCATAGACCAGAGTCCTGGGTTCATTTTCTGCTAAGGGCTTGTACCTCGGTTGCAGTTTGGCCCAGGTCGCGGATGGGGTCGTGTGAGTGGCAGCCAGTAGATATGTGTGTGTGTACCCCCCTCTCCCTCCCGCTCTATCTGAAAATAAATGCAGAAAAATGTCCTCAGGCAAGGATTAAAAAAATTGTTCAAATAATCTTATTATTAGCATA